ATTTGCTGAATTATCTGCCCAATCATCCCCACAAAGCCGGTGTGGTCACACTGGGTGCCACACTGCAGGGGTGCCAAACAATGCTGCAGAACGGAGTGCAGGAGGGACAGCTGGGATTTGAACCTGTGACCATCTGCATGCAAAGCAAGATGCGCTACCATTACACTATGGCTCCTCCAGGTGTACAACCCAGTTTCTGAGCATGGAATGTCCCCTCTGGATCTTGGCAAGTGTGCTTTTGCTGCCACAGGTCAATGAAGCTGCTTTTTTGAAATCTTTTATGCTTTTTTTGGGTGGGGGTGGGGGCGAAGCTTCATTTGCATTGTGTTCCCAGTACGAAGAGTAGCAATATCTTCACAACTGATTCTGTATTGAATTGTCTAGACTAGAAGAGAAGAGGCTGAGATATGGTGACTCCGCACAGCTGTGCATTGTTTTGTTGGCCGACATGTTGAAGTATCCAGTCATCCCAATCAAGGCTCAGTCCAGTAATCTCTGCTGACTTCCAGTCCTGCTCTCAGTATATACTGCCCGGGTGAAGAGCAAAGCTTAAGGGGGAAAGGATATGATGGTGACGAAAGGAGTTGGCACATACATATTTAGTAAATAGTATAGAGACCAGCTTTATAATGTCTTAAATGCTGAGATTATTTCCTCATTACAGGCTGAGATGCCAACTCTTTCTTTAGTCCTCAACTCCGGGAGTCTTTAAATGAAAGCTTTGTCATGACTTTTTTAGGTTAGATGCCATGTATAGACTTCCTAAACCGTAATTTCAGAAGATCTTAAATTATGAAAGCCTTCAGAGTCTAAATTTGTGGTAACTAGAGATGTACTGGGTGTCTGCCCTCAACAGGTTTTAGCATGGCTGCAGTAGCTTTGAACTCGAGGAGTATGGTACAAAAATGGCCCACAATGTCTAACATAGCATTGCATAATATTGTCTTTCCGTGTGTGGCTTGCCTCTGTTGACTTTTAATTATTTACTCACGCCTGGGAAGTAATAAAGTGATGATAAGACACACTTGTGGACTGCTTTTCACTTGGATTATTCAAAGGTATCTTCTGTACAATATATTTAAATAGTCGCAGTATTCAATAGACATTGTTACGATTGGCCAACACACCAATCAAACTAACTTGTCAGACGTTATGTGATCATGGTCAAATATTATCCAGTCTTTCAAACAGCTGATGATGCTTGAACAATTGAGGTTTTGCCTACTTGGCAGAAGTGCCTTTGAAAACCAGCTTTTAAAAAATGCTATTGCTTTCCATTATTTCTGTTTATAAATTTATTTTTCCTATTATTATTATTATTATTATTATTACTCTTGGCACACTTTCATAGGTAGTTATTTTTCTTGGAAATGTTAATAAATATTGCACATAGCATTTTCTCCCCCCAAACTCTATCTTTTTATAAATTATAGAATCGTAGAATTGTAGAGTTGGAAGGGACCCCAAGGGTCATCTAGTCCAAAGCCACACCAATGCCGGAATCTCAGCTAAAGCATCCCTGGCAGATGGCCATCCAATCTCTGCTTAAAAACCTCCAGGGAGGGAGAGTCCACAACCTCCCAAGGGAGACTGTTCCACTGTTGAATGGCTCTTCCTGTCAGAAAGTTTCCCCACATGCTTAGTCATGATTCCCAGGTAAGATCCTCCCTCTAGTGTGTGGGCAGGGTGGTCCCTCCCCCTACCTGGCCTGATCACCTTGGCAATGCCTCCCCAGGCAGGATTGGGCAACAGGTTGAGGTAGGCGGAAACCTCCAGGTATCCCACCTGGGAAAGGCGAAGCCAAGCCTGTGTTAATGGTGCCGCATAGGGTCCAGGGGGCTGTGCCGACCATGCAAAGGGTGCCCCCCATTTAATGTGGGGAGTGGTCATTCTTGTAACTTGAAGCTGTTGGTTCGAGTCCAGCCCTCCAGAGCAGGAGAAAGCAAGCTTGTTCCTTCTTCTATGTGACAGTCCTTGAGATATTTGAATGTATGTATGTATGTATGTATGTATGTATGTAATCCAGAAATGTTTTGTGTCTTCATTTTTACCAGATATCTTGCTTATTCCAGCGCAGGAAAGATATACTTATCTTTTTCTTCTTCTTCTTAAAGAATAAGCCTGTATATTCTAGTGATAAAAAAGAAAGAAAGAAAAAGAAAACCATTAATTTTGTGAGCCAGCACTCCATCAGAGAGATCCGGTTGCAAACCCTTTCCCTACAAATCAATTTGCATTTTGCATTGTTACACTAAGTGGAAAGTTAATGATTCATTGCTGTGTGTATAAGATGACCACATTATTTGTGCTTGAGGGCTTCCCACAGGCATCTGGTTGACCACTGTGAAAACAGGATGCTGTGCAAGAGCCCTTTGGCCTGATCCAGCAAGCACTTCTTTATGTGAAAGGAACATTATCAAACCCCAATCAAAACGTTTGTCTTCATATTTCACATTTATGTTGTTGTTTTCTTGGCATTCTTGGTAGCTCCTCTCGTTCCATGCAGCTGCTTCTTCCGAGTTACCTATTGACTTAAAAGGTGTGACCGCACCCAGTAGCGGAGGAACCCTTTCCGGCACCCAGGGTGGGACGCCGAGGGATGGGGCAAACCACCTGGCGGCGCGCTTGTGACGTCCGTATGGACTGCGCACGTGCGGCAACCTGTACAGACGCCACGCGAGCGGTGCCCATACTAACTGCACGTGTGCCCTCGGCTGCTCTACAGTTGGGGGGGCAGCTGGCCATCTTGTCAACCCCCCCCCCGAGTGGTGCCCAGGGCGGACCACCCCCTCCGCCCCCCTTCGTTCGCCCCTGATCGCACCCATGAGCTTGGCCATGTTGCTGAGAATGCAAGGACCCTAATCCTCATAGCTGCTTCCCATCTCCCAGTTTTGCATCTTGGGAAGGCTCCTTATCAAGTCAGGGGGTGCAATTCAACATTGCATTTGTTCCATCTGTGCAAGCAGTTCGGCTTGCCAGACAGAATGATACACCCACCCACCCTGTATGCCGTTTTAGGGGTTCTGCCACCCTCCCACCCCCGTTTGCAGAGGATGTGGGTGGTATAAAGCACTACTGTGCAAGATGAGCACCTTTCCAGAGATGATGCCATTATCCATTGTGCACTTCAGGACTTGAAACGCATGTGGGGTGGTGAGACCCACACCTTCAGCTGAAATCCTGGTCGGTGGCTCTGTGAGAATACAGCAGAAGCAAAGCAGGAAGTTGAGTACACAGTGTCTGCAAAGAACATGCAGCATGTTCTTTTTCCTGCGAATAACAATGCAGGCAAGGTGTTTCTGCCATGGGAAAGTCCTGGTGAGGCATTATCCACAGAATTACCCAGAGTGCTGAAAACTAGACAGGACAGGGATTGCTTATACCCTCCTCTGCAAATAACGCAAGTTCCACCTGACCTTAAAGGCTGTGCACTCAAACACACCTCTGGAAAAAGTAACATGCCCACCAATATCAGACCCTCCAAGTGTCCCTCTTTTCCAGGGGCAGGCTTGGATTTACAGCAGCCATCCCAGTTTCTGATTTGATCCCAGAATGTCCCACTTCTCTTTAGGACTTCCCTAATTTCATTGGAGAAATGTTGAAGGGTATGGAGTTATGTGACCACCCTGAGCCAAGGAGATAAATAACTGTACAACCTTTAGAAGACGTCTGAAGGCAGCGCTGTATAGGGAAGTTTGTTTTTAATTTTTTATGCTTTATTATGTTTCTATATATGTTGGAAATCTCCCAGAGTGGCTTGGGTGACCCAGTCAGATGCATGGAGTCTAGATATTATTATTAGTAGTAGTAGGAGTAGTAGGAGTATAGAATAGAATAGGATGTTCCTATTTTCATCGGAGAAATCTTGGAGGGTATGCAATATGGGTATTCAGGAACTATTTTGCATACAGTTACTTTTTGAAATATGGCAACCCTAAACTAGACTAGAAAAGTCAAACGAGGGTATGTAAAAGTGTGTTGGGGGCAGAATGTCTACTAGCTATATTTGCCTATACAGTGGAACCTCTGGATGCGAACGGGATCTGTTCTGGAGCCCCGTTCGCATCCAGAAGCGAACGCAACCTGTGTCTGCTCGTCTGTGGGTCATGATTCGGCACTTCCGCGCATGCGTGTAATGTCATTTTGAGCATCTGTGCATGCGCGAGCAATGAAACCCAGAAGTAACGTGCTCCGTTACTTCCGGGTCGTCGCAGAACACAACCCGAAAATATTCATCCCTACTTCAACCTGAGGTATGACTGTATTCGCCGTGTTTGTGTAGGCTCCACTACTCTGTTTCACTCAACCCTTTAATTCAGGCATAGGCGACCTCGGCCTGCCATATGTTTTGGGACTACAGTTCCCATCATCCCTGACCACTACTCCTGTTAGCTAGGGATCATGGGAGTTGTAGTCCCAAAACATCTGGTGGGCTGAGGTTGCCTATGCCTGCTTTAATTCAAGGGAAGCCAGCATGGTGCCTGCCAGATGTTTTGGTCTACAGCTGCTTCAGTCCCTGACCATTGCCCATGTTGAGTGGGGCTGATGGGGAACCATAGTCTCACATCTGGAAGGCAGCATGTTGGCTCCCCTTTGCTTCAACTGCTGGTCCATTTGCAGGACAAGGCATCGGACTTCCCATAACCCTACACATATAAATAAGAGACAAATGAGGCTGGTTTTTTGGGTAAAAAAAGACCACAACTTTATTGAATACAGATGAAAGAAGTTTGGCTTGGGCATGGGGCAATCTAAATACTTCTGGCCCACCCGCCAGAAGTGACGCGTGGTCAATCCAGGACAGGGTTCCTAAGACTTACATCAAATAGGGTGACCCCCACAGGGACCACCGTCTGGGGGAGTGTCTTCGGCCCCAGCCCTCCGGGGCATGTGGACATGACCACTCCCCCTGGATCCCTTTAATGGGATACCCCAGCATTTGGAGGGGCAGGCAGGGACTGAAACCTCCCCTCCATCCAAGACAAGGGATTGCCCCAATGCTCAACCACCAGAGGTGAGCGGACTTGGTAAAACAAGTGTGCTGCTTTGAGAAACAAGCACACAGGTCTGAATATGACAACAGCAGCCTATCTCCCTGAAATCCAAGATAAGGCTGTGGCCAAAACGCAAAGGACTGCTGCTGGTGAACCAAAGATGCTCTGAAGCGGATGAGCAGAGTGTGTGGTTTTGGAGGGTGAGAGAAGGAGGGGTAAAGTGAGATGAAATTAAGGGGTGGCAGAGATTTTTCGTGGCATCCCACAATGAAACAAATGAGCCCGTCCTTTTCTAACCTTGCAATTCTTCCTTGGGTAAGGAGGAGCTCCAATGGATCACAGTCATGGAGGTCCAGTTCTCTTCCTCAACAAGGAAGGGTCTGGCTCAGAGGAGCCCCAAAGGCCAGCAGCTAATCTTTGATTCAGTTGTTCTGAGGCCCAGAAAAAGGGCCAAAATGTTTGCGTAGACTGACCCAGGGAAGGTTAACAGCAGACATGTGATTCTTGACATGGTTGTTGGAGGCCTCCTTCCTCTGTTCATTTACCTTGGGCAAGGCTTTATAATTGGGTTGCTTAATCAAGCAAAGCATCCTCTCTGTTTATAGGGCTTCGTATCCCAAGACAACTTCCGCCCTCTCTGTCTGGCCCTCAGGACTCTCCCCAGACCACACCACTTCTCCTGAGGCCATGTCCCTCAGCAGTCTTGCTTCACAGCCTCCTTGAGAGTTTTTTTTGCCTGACTGGAATGTGCCCTTGAACTCTGATCATATCTTTTTCTTGCCTAGATGAAGGGTGGGAGGTCTGTGTGGAAACCAGCATATGATACAAAGGTAAATTGTAAATTTGTTGCCTCTGGCTCTGCACAAAAGCTTGTCCAGAAACAAAAAAATGCAGTCCTCTGGCTGACACAGGTTCCCTCACCATTGGCTACTGCATTCCTTCCTCTTCCTTTAAGTCTTCAAACTCTGAAGTTACCTCACAGGGAACCTGATTCTTCATGCGCTTGCCAACACACTGTTGACAGGAACAAGAAGAGGACAGGATCAGACTGGTAGGGAATGAGCAACACTAGTGCTATTTGAGTAACTATAGCAACTAGGGAGGAAAATTGTGAGTTCTAGAGTTCGCAAGTGATAGAGGGATAAGGAGAGGCCTTAGTTGCATTAATTGTGGTAGGTCTGCTGCTCTTCCCAAAAGTAATGGCCTACCTGACTCAAAGGTGACGGCTTCAAGCTTAGCAAAGCATTCCCGTCTTGCTCCTTTCGCCGCTGTGTACCAGAAGGGATTTCAGCAGGTTTCCCTGGCATTATATGCTATACCTGCTGAAATGCCACTTCCTATACTTGGGGTGGACAGAAGGTAGGGTGGTAGATCTTTGGATGATTTGAAGTTGACCATCAAGGATGCTAGACTCCCAGTATTTAACAATGACAACAACAACAAAATGCCCCCGTCCCTCCACATTACAGTGCTGAAATAAAGGAAGCGGAAGCAAAGGTTACCAGGATTGGATTGTTGTGTGGAAGAGCTGCATGGTCCATTCAGTTCTGGGATTTAGAACTATTTCCTGGTCGTAAAGTTCTTTAATTCTGAGTGGACATCTTTTGTACCTGGATCCAGTTAGATCTTGGGGTTCAGCTGGGGGGCGGTGAAATGAAGTTGGTTCTCACAAGCTGAAGGCTTCTCTCACCTCTGTTCCACACAGTTGTTGGAAGTGTGGGAGCTCTGTCAACTTTTTCATCCAACTGCCCATGTGCTCTGGGAGGAATGCAGAACCTGAGTGACTGTGTCACAATTAGCACACAGTGTGCACATTTTAAGTTAGAAGCGGCGAGCGATGCCTGCTTAGCTGACTCTTGTGTGCCTAAATAAAGCTAGCAACCTAGGAGAGTGAAAATTATTACCTAGCATACAAATTATAGAGAATATATGCAAATATACATAACAAACACGACTCCTAGTGAATCAGAACTTGCTTTTAAGGTTGCGGCAGAATTGCCACTCCTAATCTCTTAAACATTTGACTGATTGATTGATTGGTTGGTTGCCCTGAAGGGTTTCCAAATGTTTCCCCTGAGGCTTGGGGGTTCTTAAAGAACGGGGCAAGACTCCTTAGTAAAACTAGGAAAGGCTCAGGCGCCTCTTACTCATCACATCAAATATATGTGCCTGATATAGTGACCAATACGGTGGGATAGAAATGTAATAAATTTAGTAAATTCCATGTGATTAAATCCATGGATGGGACATTTGGGACATTTAATTACATTAATTAGAAGACATCTGAAGGCAGCCCTGTTCAGGGAAGCTTTTAACGTTTGATGCATTTCTGTATTTTAATATTTGTTGGAAGCCGCCCAGAGTGGCTCGGGAAGCCCAGCCAGGTGGGCGGGGAATAAATAATAAATTGTTATAATATTATTAATATTATTATAAATAAGCCATTTGTAAAGGCATTCATATATTTAATTTACACCCTGGTTGTTGTTTTTTTATATTAAAGGGCACTCAGAATGTCTTGCCATAAAATGACAAAGAGTATCTGATTCATTTGGAAGAGCGTTGAATATGCTTGGATCTGGAGCCTGACACGTGGCTTGCTTGTGGTGTGTAGGAATTCTTAAAACGGGGCATGTCCATATAAGGACTCTACCTAAAAACATCAAGGTTCTGAAACCGGAGTAAAAGGCATAAATGTGCACATAAATGGATTTAGCTTTCCTGCTTCGCTTAACCTGTGTAGTTGCATAATTTGACTTTCGAAGGTGAGAAATATTTGTTTGGGACAGCTTCCTTATCCATGGCAATTCCAAGATGGCACCACTCCTATCCTCCATTTTTTTAACCTTCCTTTCTTTTTCTCTCCCCCTAGGATGCCATACTCTAATCCAGGATGAATGAATGTCACTATGATAAACGCATGGACTTCTTCTATAACATGAGTAATACAGCCACAGCAGATGAGTGGACGGGGACAACTCTCGTCATTGTGTTATGTTTCGGGGCCTTCTTCTGCCTCTTCATTTTCATCTCCAATTCACTGGTCATAGCTGCTGTGGTCAAAAACAAGAAGTTCCACTTCCCTTTCTACTACCTGCTAGCCAATCTAGCAGCTGCGGACTTCTTTGCAGGCATCGCTTATGTATTCTTGATGTTCAACACCGGCCCAGTCTCCAAAACGTTAACTGTTAACAGGTGGTTTTTGCGTCAGGGACTTCTGGACACGAGCCTGACGGCTTCTCTGGCCAACTTGCTAGTAATTGCCGTTGAGCGCCACCTGTCTGTTGTTCGGATGAGGGTGCACAGCAACCTCACAAAGAAGAGGGTCACCTTTTTCATTTTGTTGATCTGGGCCATAGCTATTTTCATGGGCGCGGTGCCCACCTTGGGCTGGAACTGCCTGTGTGACATCTCAACCTGCTCTTCGCTGGCTCCTATTTATAGCAGGAGTTACTTGATATTTTGGACCGTCTCCAACCTGGGGGTTTTCTTCATCATGGTGGTGGTGTACATAAGAATCTACATGTACGTCCAGAGGAAAACGAATGTTTTATCTCCGCACACGAGTGGATCCATCAGCCGCAGGAGGACTCCAATGAAACTTATGAAGACAGTCATGGCAGTCTTAGGTAAGAGGGCATGGATGTGGAGGGCAGATGTGCTTGTATTGTATCATCATCATTCAGTTTGAGAAGGATGGTAGATCTTGGCTGAGCCATCTATGGTTACATTTCCGATGATTAGGGCCCACTTGGTCCTCATCATAGGATGGGGGCTTTGGGATGGTGGGATGGAAACTCACCATGTGTCTTCAGCTGCAAGAGGGTGTTATTACTCCATGCCTCATCCTTTCTCTTGGATCTATGTTTGTGGTGCCATGGGAGGGCTACACAGCCATTGACCTGATGCTTGGCCTTGGGCTGCTTATGAATCATTAGGCTGCTTATGAATAATAACCAGCTTTAGTTTACAAAGTGGGTAGTCAGAGCCATTTAACCTGCAGATGGAGGATGTATCTACCTGCAAGCTTCTTGCATTCCCAGCATGGTGCTTTGCTGAAAAATTATAAATGTGAGGTATGGTAACACCACCCCACTCTCCAAATGCAATATCTTAGGACAGGCATAGACAAACTCGACCCACCAGATGTTTTGGTACTACAACTCCCATCATCCATAGCCAACAAAACCAGTGGTCAGGGATGATGGGAATTGTAGTTTCAAAACATCTGGAGGGCCGAGTTTGCCTATGCTTGTCTTAGGAGATGGCTTGTGCATTTTCTCTCCTGTAGGGTTTCTGACATTCATGCTGATAGCTTGACTTCACACCCAACCCTACTATTCAGCTGTAGGGATTGTGGTAGTCATGCACAGGGATGGACAGATCTGTCAATTTTGGCTCTCTCGGTTCCTCATTTTTCCAGTTTTAAATTCGGTTCTCCATATTTCTGCAGCAAAAAATAAAATCATCAGGAAAATTCACCAGCATTTTAGTGTGAATTCATAAACACATTTTTACATGCAGTTTTGACTGCTTCTTTGCAATCATTTTCTCCTAATACAATGCATCATTTGCATGTTTTTTCTTTTATTAATACTGTATGTTCATTTTACGCACACTTTCCTCTAATATATGCATTTTTGTCAACATTTCTTTAGTGAACTGCATCACAAAATTTGTAGAAGCTGCGTTTTGGTTCTCATATTGTTTCATAAAGTGTGAATGTGATAGCTTTAAATACAAGCTGAATTGAATTTTAACCCCATCCCTAGGTCATGCACAGGGGGTGGTTTCACTGACAGGAAACCTAAGAACTAGGAATAGCAGCAATATGTCTGGTTGCATTAACTGGCACCAACAGCTTTGCAACAAACAGCAAAAGATCCCAAGAGGAAGCCCAAAGTCTCACAAACTATATGAGGCTTGTTAGTATACTTGGTAGTAGTACAAGGAAAAAATTAGGTTGAAATCAGGCTTTAACCTAAATATATGGTCATCTGAGATGAGTTGGAATTGTCTCCAGGCACAACAACTCTTGTAAACTTGGGGTGGGTAGGGGAAGAGAAGCTAGTTCACTCTGTCAGGCTAATAATAATAATAATAATAATAATAATAATAATAATAATAATAAAATAAATTTCTTACACACCCTTCACTCTAACGTCCTGGCCATAAATGATGTGGCTGGGCTGATGCCCTGGTTTTTAAAAATAAATAAACCAACCAATCTGTGGGCTTGTTAACTTTTGTTCACTGCATCCCAAAATATTGAGATGGGTTCAGTCTACTCCATAGATTGGCCCTTTAACCCTTTTTTGTGGTTATCCTTTCAGCTACAGCTTTACGAAGGCTATAGGATGGGTATGATTTGAGTAAAATGGGGATGGGAGTCGGGGGGTGGGGTGGGGTGGAACTTGGGGGTTTCATTAAGTGCCTTTTACCGCAATTCAACCACAGTACAGTGGTACCTCAAGTTAAGTACTTAATTCGTTCTGGAGGTCCGTTCTTAACCTGATACTGTTCTTAACCTGAAGCACCAATTTAGCTAATGGGGCCTCCTGCTGCTGCCGCACCGCCGGAGCATGATTTCTGTTCTCATCCTGAAGCAAAGTTCTTAACCTGAAGCACTATTTCTGGATTAGCAGAGTCTGTAACCTGAAGCGTATGTAACCTGAAGCATATGTAACCTGAGGTACCACTGTATTAAGAGGAAGGTTTGGTCCCTTCCAACTTGAAATGCAGTCCTTTTATAAGTAAGGCCAGTCTAGAATCTCTCTGGTGGTTTATTGGCACTGTGATAGATCTTAACTTCCCCTGTTTATAAAGCGTATCACCTTCTACCCATTCCCTCTCCCCAGAGCTCATTCTCCTCACAATCATTATATTGCTCTGTCCCTAGTGCCCAGGTTCTGAAAACCTGCTGAGATGGAGCCTCTATTCTAATTACTGGCAGGTGAACCCTGTCCCATGATTGGAAGACTCCGAATACAGCTGCCTTCCCTGATGTAGTCCCTTCTTGTTTATCTTGGGCTACAACTTCCTGTTGTCCTTGGCCATGCTAGCTAAGGGGCTGATGGGAGCTGCAAGCCAGAACATCTGGAGGGCACCACGTTGAAGGTTGGGGAAGGCTGTTATACAGAACGCCTTTATATCCAAACCAAATCTAGTATTGAATTTTCATTCTCACCTGCTTGGGCATCTACAGTGTGCAGTGCAAATATTATAACAGTCAAGGAATGCTAAGTGAGATGAGGTGACCCTGAGCATCTTGCCGTGGCTGTTATTCATGTTGCAATTGCCTGTCAGGCACCGAATAGCTTCTTTCATAACCATGCCATGTCCTTTTCACAGGAGGTAACAAAAGAAAGCATTGCTCTGGCTTGGGGCAGACCGCTACTGTGACCCTATTGTAACATTGCAAGATATCTGTAACATGGAGGACGGCCTCTCATAGTCCAAATTCTTCGCCCATTTATCTACTGAATGCCAGGCCCAAGGACTCCGCTGCTTAGGTCTGGCATCAGAATTTCTCAAAGAGGCCTTGTTTTCTCGTAGCGCAACACAAAGTATGTGTGGGAAAGGCGGAGGGGGACGGGGACCCAACTATTAGATCTAAACAAATACATTGTGGTTGACATAGTGAATTCAAAGTAGGGATTGTCTTCTACAATACAGCTGTCCCATTGCGAGGCACGTTTGTTTTTCCACTGGGTCAATGCAGCTGATTTTAGTAGATACAAAATGATAGCTTTGGGTAGAGCAGTTCCTCCCCCACCCAACTTGGGGCTCCAGCTGCTTTTGGACTACAGTTCCCATCATCCTTGACCACTGGTCCTGCTAGCTAGGGATGATGGGAGTTGTAGTCCAAAAACAGCTGGAGATTTAAGTTTGGGAAACACTGGGGTAGATGGACATAGCAAGCTGCCTTATACTGAGTCAGGCCATTGGCCCATCCAGTTCAGTACTGTGTACTCTGGCTGGCAGCAGCTCTCCACGGTTTCAGATGGGGTTCTTCCGAGCCCTACCTGGAGATGCCAAGGATTGAACCTTGGACCTGTTTGTATGCAAAGCACACTTACCATTTTACCACTGAGCTATGGTCCTGCCCCATATATATATATACCGGTATTATATTATTGACTATTACCATTGGTAGGAGGCAACACAATCTGTTCCCTTAAAGCAAAACCATTGTGTGCATTCTGGGAGGTTAAAAGTCCTCCCACGCCTCTCCCTTTTCTTCCCTGGGTGGTTTACATTTCCTCTCCTTCTTTTCCCTGCCTGTTTGGACATGCTGGGAGACAGGTTACAGGACACCAGAACCAACACAGTCCCAGCAAAAGCTTCGCTCTCTTATTCGTCAAATCTTATGCATCTATAGCATCAAGATGTGTTTTGAGCCATGGTTTGTTCAGGCTTCTTAGCCCCATAATTTTTCTTCAGGAATGCCGAAGTCACAGTAAAAAGCAACAGCACCTTTCTCTTACTGCTGAGTAATCCACAATAAATGGCCACACTTCTGATATCAAAGAAAGACTTTCTAAAGTTAGAGGGTGTGGGAATTTCTTTTTAGTGACTTTTAACTATACTACTACAAGGAGCAGGTTACAAATGGAAGAAGGGCTTTATGGTTTGGTTGTGTGTATGTACCTAGATAATCGTATTTCGGGGGCTTTGTGGTTTGTTTGTTCATGTGTGTGCGTGTGTGTGTGCGCATGTGCACAGATGCATTGCGCCTCCCATCTCCTGATGGCTGGAACATGTCCACTGTGAGGGGCATATCTTCAACCTCCTCAGTGCAGTACTTCCTCTTCCTGTATGAGGGAACGTCATCCATTCACTTATAAGGGAGAGGACAAAGAAGTACAGTGGTAACTCGGTCTACGAACTTAATTTGTTCCGGAAGTCCGTTCTTAACCCAAAGTATTCTTAAACTGAGGCACACTTTCCCTACAGAGGCTGGTGCCCTTCCACCGTTCGGCTTCCAAGGCAACGTTCACTAGCCAGAACACCTACTTCCGGTTTTGCGGAGTTCGTTGCCCAAATAGTTCGTTAACAGGGCTGTTCATAGACCGAGGTACCACTGTACACCTAGTGGGGAGTGGGGTACTATCTTGGGTCAATATCAAACTTGCCTTTGGTGATTCTGGTTCCTAGAGTTCCGGCCAGCTTTTGCTATATCTTGGCTGTGACCTAGATTGCAGCCTTTTGACTTTGTCAGTGGAGAATCCTTGCTTAGAGCTAACTTTTCTCTGCATAGCCTGAGGCCTTCTGATGCCATTTCAGATTGTGGTGCCAATCAGGGACCGCCAACGTGTTGCCCTCTTGATCCTATTAAGACTGCAAATTAGTTTTTAAATACAGAGAAGATGCAACCCTGAAAACCTACCACAAGCTTTTGAACTCTATATATCTACGACCTGCCCCTCCACAAAACAATTGCACTTTTTACCAGCGGCATGGCAGGCTGAAATTTAAGAAGCGAATACTGTTTTCCTGTCCTGAATACACAGTGATACCAAGAACTTCAGTTGCTGAATTTCTGCAGTCATTACAGGGGCAAAGAGTCTTGCCAGGGAAAGGGGGCTTCAACCCTAATTCTGAAAACTTGTAGCGGCAATTGGTTTTT